TTAAAAACTATTTTTTATACATGAAATATTGTTTATTTATATATATTATTTAAAATTCACGATTATAAGTAAATTGTGTATACGTATAACTTATTAAACCTCAATTTTTGAATTCGTATAATTAACTGCAGATCGATAAACATAATAATATGCATGATAAACATCATATTTTAAATATAAAAAGTCTAAAAATATAATTAGGATAATCGTTGAGTTATAATAAAATATTTAACTATTGTTTTTATAAAAAATTATATTATTAAATGAAAAATAAATTGATTCGTTATTAAACTAATAAAATACTTAATTATTTTCTTTACAAAAAATTATATTATTAAAAAAATAATTTACTATTAGACCTAAATTAAATTATTATAAAAAAATTGAATCAAAGAAATTACACAAAAAACGAAAACTTTTAAATAGTTGATTTGATATTAATACTGATATTTTTTTTTAAATTTATATTTTATTTAAAAATAAAAGCATTATCATTTTCTCAAAACCATATAAAACGGTATTATATCAATTGACAAAGAAGAAACTGAAACAATAAATTCGAGATTTATCTCGCTGTATTTTACAAATACCCTTCTATATATTTAAATACATTGGTTTGGAGAAGTTTCAGGTGATAATACTGTATTTTATAATAATAAAAATAAAATCACAAACTCTTTTTCAAATATAAAATAATTCAAAGGTTGTTAAAAGAAGTGTAACTTAATTTTTTTTGTTGGGTTAATTATAATTTATAGGTGTAGAGTGAAAGTTAAATCCTTTTTATTTATTGTTGGAATGTTGAAATTTAGCATAAATTATTGTACCCCATGCTTAGAAAAATGGTTAATAATTGACTTTTTAAGGGTTAGATACGTAATTTCATACTAAGCACGTGTTTCTAAGACCTCGAACTATACAATAGAAATAAATAATATGATAAATTTAAGTAAGATGTTCATATAAGCTTTTAATTTTCTTAAACTCGTCTGATCTAAAATAATTTACGTTTGTAGTTTTGATTTAACAAATGGTGGAAAGATAGAGGTTTTGTCTATTGCTCATAACGAGAGGGATTTAACGGACACAGATCCAACGGAGTTAGAGGAACATACTTCATCCGTAACAAAAGTGAAATCAAAATGACCGTAGCTGTAATTAATTCGTTTGAGGAACCCGATCCGWGTTATTTGCTCAAATATTAATGATCACCTCCACTTTCAGGGTTCTTTTTCATTCATTCGCATGTTTATCAGGGGATATTTAGGTGCATAACATTAAGTGAGATTTTTAATTAAATTCATGGACTTTAGGTCATATCCCTAAACGACCCTCTTTATTAGCTATTACAGGAAAACTGTTTCTATGCGATGCTAACGATTTAATAACTATTTCGTAGCTCCAATCRCATATTTATATTTGCTTAATTATATAAATCACATTTTTCAACCCAGTTTTAATCACATTATCTACATAACTACGGACTACCTGCATCTGGACAGANCATATTTATATTTGCTTAATTATATAAATCACATTTTTCAACCCAGTTTTAATCACATTATCTACATAACTACGGACTACCTGCATCTGGACAGAAAAACCCTATAAAGCTCCAAGACTCGCTTTCGCTACGGCTTCAGTGGGTTCCCTTAACCAAACCACTGCCCACAATTTTTTTTTTTGAATTCCCAGTAGAAAAAGATACAAACATTTTCCAACTAAGGGGCTGTTTACCAAATACTTACTCGGTAAGTGCTTATCGATAAAATTTAACACTACCACTTACTTACCGGGCAAGGCTTTAGTCCATCAAAACAGCATCGTATGTAACAAATTACCCAGTAAGTGCTTACCATAGTAAGAGTCGCCGTCCTCACTTACCGGATAAGACTCTCGGTCCTTGTCTCCTCTTACCAGGTAATATTTTTTGTCTTTACCATATTCATCTGGTAAGGTAATGTGACTTGATAAATGCTTATCCAGATAAGCGTTTTGTAAACGGCCCCTAATTCCCAAAAAATATAAATTTGTATCAAATATGTAAAACTGATCAATCTTATTGACACCATTTTCAGCTAATTATTTTACCGTTCATGCTCGTCCCTAGTTAACCATATACATTAACTAATTAACTTCTCTATAAATCACAATATT